CACTCTGTCTGTGTCCGACAAGCCAGCTTTGTCCTGAGGAGTCTCCCAGCAGGACCAAGATGAAGTGGATGCCTGACGATTTTTTAAGATCGCTTTTAGAACCTTGCTGATTTCACTGGGCAACGGCGTTTCCTTGAAATCTTCAGAAGCGTGCCGCTGAGTGAACTAAATTGGCCCTGTCACACTGGGAAGTATACTCTTCAGAATCAGACCTAATTTAATAGTTTAATATGACATAGGTTAATAAATTAAAAATCTAAACTTTGTGGCTTGAAATTTCACTTCTGCCCACTCAATAAGGAGCAAATCGTCCAGTGGATTCGAGGCTGTGCTACGTAGTGTAGGCCCTGGAGCAAAGGGAGGATTCTAAGAGGTGCGCGTCGCTCCGGCCCTGAGCCCAGAGCCCGGCCCTCGAGTGCAGGCATTGGGGGTATTCCGTGAAGTACGGCCCGGTGACGGGTAATGGAACTCCCCTGCCGTCAGGAAACGTGGCGATTGTCCCTTCCCGAGCAGCCGGGCGGCAGGGAATGCCGGCCTTAAGTGAGCAGTGCTGAGTGCACCAGCTGCTGTCAATCAATACCGGGACCATTAATAGTCATTTCGGCTTTTAGTCCAATTTAAATGAATATCACCATGGCATATATTTTAAGCAGTTATGGCCTCTAATCCTCCCATTTTGAAAGAACAAGAGCCAGCCATGAGACACAATTATCCATTACTGCTCCTGGTGAGGCAAAACTTTTGTTAGAATGCTGTCACTAACTTTTAAAAGCATCCCGTGGCCCTTAATACCAAGAGAAAAGCTATTTTCCATATAGTGGATTGTTTGTATTTGGACTAGCAGATTTAGCAAAGAACAGAGCCAAGTCAAACAATACATACCAGGGTGGGCACAGGTGGGTTTACTGTGCCCCTGTGACATTCTTCGGAGTCAGTAGAGCTATTGTGATCATTATAACCTGCATGTCTTTTTTTTTTCTTTTTAAAATATGTTTTTAATGATTTTTTAGAGAGAGAGATAAAAACATCGATGTGAGAGAGAAACATCCATCGGCTGCCTCCTGGACACCCCCCGGTGGAGTTTGAGCCCAGAAGCCAGACAAGTGCCCTGACCAGGAATCCAACCGGGACCTCTCGGTCCAGGGGACAACACTCCATCCCCTGAACCACAGCTGTAGACATACTTTTGCCCACCCCTGTATGTTAACAACTTGGAAATTGTCTCTAACAATAAGTTAAAAAGCAGTTAAATGTATGTCTGATCCCTTTTTGTCTCATATTACTTTAACTGCTCATTTCCTAAGGCCCTGCCCCTAGAATGATTTGATTGGATTATCTAGTATGCTGATAAAATGTATCAACATCTCTTATATCTTCTAAAGGATATTTGAAACATATCAACAAATACCCGCAGAAAGGAAGATGACAGACTGGGCTGAGGTATTCCAGGAAATTCGGTGTTTCAGAAAAATAGCTATGGTCTCAATGCAGAGGAACATGACACATTATACCAAAAGCTGATGAAAGCAAGGCAGTATCCGGCCCACAGAGGAACTGTTAGCCAACTTCATTGCTAAGCAGTAGCACAGGGTCACAAAGTCGTAGATGTTTCATTACAAGTATGTCCACCTGTAGGATGGAGCGGACTGAGGGACAGTTAACTCTAGATAGTCATCTCCTTTAAAAAATGTTGAAGTTTAAATTGTTGTTTCTTCCCTTCCCCTTGGTGATCATCATAGCCCTGCAGGACTTCAGCAGAACCATGAGTTCCTTCCTGGAGGATCAAGGGGTTCTTGAGATGACATGGAGGGACCTGGAAAGTATTATGCTAAGCGAAATAAGCCAATTAGAGAAAGACAAATACCACATGATCTGACTTATTTGTGGTATAATGAACAAAACAGACCCACAGACATAGCAAAGAGTATGGTTCAGATTGACAACCCTCAGAGGATGGGGTGGGGAGGAGGGATGAGATGCACCAAAGAACTTATATGCACGTATGCGTAACCAATGGACATAGACAACAATGCTGGGGTGGAGGTGGTCGGGAGGAGGGAGTCTAGGGAGGAAAGAGGAGAAACATCTGTAACAAAAATAAATTAATAAAAATTGCAAAGAAAACAAAACAGAAAAAGATAAAGGGGTTCATATGGTCTTATTCTGCTATTTTACTCCTGTACTTCCTAGAAAATGGACTCTCTCTGACCAATCCTGAAAGCATCAACAATATGAGCAAACATCTGGGTGCACAGACACCTCCTCTCTCCAGATGATCCCTGAGTAAACGGACTCAGTTAAAATACCTGTGTCATCTCTCAGAGATGGAGGTTGAATCCCAGCTCAGTGGGTAATAATTACATAACCTTCACCTCTATAAGTCTTTGTTTTCTCTCCTGTGAAATGAGGATGTTGGACTTATGCTTTCTAAGGCTACTTCCCAATCTGTGAATTTCAAATTCACTTATAGCTACGAGCAATGTGTTCACTTGGCGTCCCTTTCCCCTTGTCATTTAAAAGTGTTTATTAGACAGTCCCATCTTGTTCCTCGGCTGTGGTTTCAGACTCTTTGTTATGTCACTGATAGAAAGTCCCTAATAAGCACTGAGTTATAACATTTAGATCATCGCTAAAGAAGAAATATGAGAAGTCACTAATGCTATCCATATGGACTATTTTCTGAGACTATCAGTGGGAGCTCATTTAAGATGAACATGAACATTATTACATACATGGATGAGTAAAAGCACATGCACCCTGACACGAGGGGCTACTCAGTTTGGGGGAAGTTAATTCACTTCTTTGAGAGTCAGTGTCTCCCCGTATAATGATAGGACTGGAGGAGATAACCTCTAAGATCCCCTTAAATTCCAACAACTGTAATTCGATGCCAACAAAAACACCAAACAACATTAAATTCAAGTCTTTTCATTGACTAATACAGCTCAAGATAATTGAAGAATAATCAAAATGCTATTCATGGAAGAGTAATGTCTTCTCAATTTTTGTTCCATTACACTGTTTCAGAAATTGTTTTCAGTAATAATTTTTGCATAAAATGTAAAAAGATAAAAGTCAGACGGCTCAACTTAATCTTCCTCGCATAAACTTAAAGCCTAAACTGCCTTATCAATACCAATCTACAGAAATGTTATTTCAACTACAGTGCAATGTGCTAGCATGTTATCACTTCAACTGCAACTTGAAAGTATTTCATGGAGTTTTGGGGATTAAAGGTAATCCGAAAAATTTCAGGTTCAAAACAAAAGTTACATTTATTTATTTTGAGTACAAAGTATATTTTAATTTTAATAAGTGACTAAATTTAACCAAAAGTTTTACACTACAGTATCTCTGTCATAGATAAGCTGAAATTGGTAAATGAGTCATAGTTCATTCAAACTCAGGGCTGAAGAAATCTTTCCCTCTGATAAAGATTTGTAATTTTGAAAACTGTATTGTTTTGCTAAACCACACAGAGCCCTTTAATTTAGTGTCTAGAATTACATTGTTTCTGGCTTCTCAAATTACATCCCATATCCTCATTGATTATTTATTAGACAAGTCGAGAGAAAGATCCTGGTGCATTGATGATGGAGAAGGGCAAGTGCCCAGAGCTCGGGCTAGCCATCTGACAACATGACTTCCTTTCTGTTCGACTCTCTCTCCCACCTGACTGTGGTTTTCCCCTTCAAGGGAGAGTTTTGTTGTGTGATTTATGACCCTCAATACAAAGAAATTAAACTCCACTCTGAATGGTTCAGTACGCCAGTCTCCTGAAGGGAATTACACTGCTCAGCCGGAACTTTCCGCCTCCCACTCGGGTCTCACAGTGGGATCCAGTTAAGGCGTGGCATTTCTTACCGTCGCCAGTCCTTACTGTGCATCATTATCATCCGGGCATCTCTGGGTTAGCATATGAAATGCGCATCCGACCCTGAACCTCAGTGACATTACAGGCTTCAGAACTTTCAAAATGATGGAAGCAAAATATAGTAAAAGTACATTTTTTGCTATGAATTATAGCAATACTTCACTTGTTTTCATTGTGTTCAACGCTCCTACCCATTATCAGGCTGAGATAAAAGTGGTGAACTATTTCATCAATAAAATCAGCTTTTAAACCTCTGGCGCCTTGGATTTTATTTTAACAGTTCAGGGTACAGCCTGGGTAATCTCGCTTTATTCTAAAAGGAATGACACTGTAAATTACACAGGAACACAACACTTGGAGAGTTTAGCATGTTAAACACATGCATTTCCACACCTCTCCCCTCCAATAAAAGACACATAGCAAGTAACACTAATAATGACGATAATTACAAATTAGAAAACCTGAAATCAGGCTAAGAAATAGAAAGCCCTGCATAGAGAAATTCTTGCAGTACTCATATCCGTTGCTCGTACAATTAAAATGGACTTGGACACAATCATTGCCGTAGTGGGGTGGGGCGGGCTTCTGCAAGCTTTCTTCCTGAAAACTAGCCGACTTCAGGGGGTTTACTTTAGACATTGTTGTGATGTTAAGTCTAGAACCTTCCAATGCCCGCGGGTCCCTCCTGTGACTGCAGACATCCTTCCCTGGACTATCATTACAAAGGGCTCCAGGTCTGACTCCGCCCAGCGCAGTGGCCCCACATCTGTCAACAGACTCGCCATGTGCCGCCGAGAACAGGGCTGTGCCATTTACAGGGTGACAAGGCCACTCTGGGTAGCTCACCTGCAGAGATGAGCGCTCATCATGCTGCAGCACCTCCGGCCAGCTAAGGACTGTCTGCAGTGCCAGCCACTGAGCACGAGCTAAGGACTGTCTGCAGTGCCAGCACCTGAGCACGAGCTAAGGACTGTCTGCAGTGCCAGCCACTGAGCACGAGCTAAGGACTGTCTGCAGTGCCAGCCACTGAGCACGAGCTAAGGACTGTCTGCAGTGCCAGCCACTGAGCAGGAGTGTCCCGGTTCCCAAGCAACAAGTTCCCATCGGCCGCAGGGTCTGCACTCACCGTACACCATCGCGCCTCCGGTCTCGTGCAAGAAGCGAAAGCGGTGGTTTTTAAACAACCAGATGGTCAGAATGGTGAGGATGAGCAGAAAATTGAAGACGAGCAGCTCCACGGCCCCCTGGTGCTGGAACTGGTCCCCGGCCGCCCCTGCCGGGAGCCCGTGCTGGCTGTCCATCCCGCGGGCTCGGGTCCTGGCCACCGCCAGGGGCTGCAGGGTCGGGTTTCCGAGGACAGCGCTGCCCGGGCTTTCAGAGTAAACACTGCCACTTAAGTTGCCACTTGGTGAGCCTTTTGCTGGCTCCCTATTCACACGGCTTCTAGTTACAACTTCCTGTTTCTGCCTTAAAGCAGCCCCGTCGCTTTTCAAACCAGTGCGTTTCTGAGCAGCTCTCAGCGGCTTAAAGTAATTCACTCCAGGGAATGACCTTCCACACGGGACTCACCTTTGATCTTCTTGGTTCGGACACCTCTCCCTTAGCTGCATAGCTGATGAACTGTAGAGAAATAATAGAACAGATCACCTTACATCAGCAGCATTTTCTGGGTTCAAAAAAGCCAATTCCTGAATTACAACCTCACTCACAGGCGAGGCTGTTGCTCTGAAACCGAAGCCTACCAGTGTGATGGGATTGATGGCTCTGATGTGAGCTGTAAAATGATTTCACAGGGATTTTCGGTTTTAAATGAAGAAGCAAGAAACAATTTAGTATGTGACGCTCTCTGTTTGACTTTATATAACAGGCAGTCACAAGAGCAATATTTAAACTCTGAATCAATTGCTCTTCCTTTAACAAGAATAAGTGAAACAAAAAGACAAAAAGCAATTGTCTCCCTCTCTACATCTGTGCTGTTTGGACATGTTAAGTCAAAAAAGGAAAGAAACTAAACATGCACCTTTGAAGGAAGAGATCATCCAGCCGCCCTTAGTAATGTCTCATACTTGGATTTCTCTCTGGACAGCTTTTGGCCCAAACATTCAGGAGCCACAGAAATCTGCCGCCGTGGACAAACCCCTGCTCTGTCCTGTGGCAGGCAGTGTGGTTCACTGAGGACTAGTCCTCCACCCGCAATGAAAGCTGCAGGATCACAGGGCTCTGGCTCCAGAGTAGTGATCCCTCCGATTTGGCAGGCTGGTTCGGTTTGAATTCATATTATTATGCTTTCTGAAAAGTTCAAGACAATACTCCACGAGCTCTGCTGCACCGCTGATGTGTTTGCCTTACTGGTCCCACAGTGCAACTAGATACATCCCAGGGTGTGTGAGGTTTGCCATCATGTCATGAAATTATTTAACTCCGGAGTATTAATTATCTAGTATCCCCGTACTTGACAGAATTAATATTCAATGTATAGAGTATAAGTGATTCATTGAGTTGGATGAGTCCAAATACTCCTCAAAAGGTCTTGTCACCAAAAGCTAGAGGGCAAACCTGCGATAGTAGCCCCTCCCAAAGAGATCCAAAGAGATGTTGATCCACTTTGAAGAATACTCTGCTGTGTCAGCTTGCTGATTTCCTCTCTCGGTTCAGCTCAGCAGGGGGTATTTATGTGGGCTGCAGATGTTCTCTAAGCTCTACCCTTTTTGGCAGGCCTATCTGTGATGACTAATATTCAAACTGTTTTGAAACCAGTCAGCTAACGCTTGCAAGCTCTGCATGAAGCTTCGCTAGCAGGTTCTACCTTTATCATTTTGCAACCCTGCAGGTCTAGGCTTGAGCTGATAGATTTATGAGATAACTCAAATTCCAAACCTGGCAATGTCCTGTCTTTGTTGGAGGGTGGGGGGATCATTATTTAATTACTTTGGTTCCTTTTAATAATAATGAGTGCTCCATCGGGGTAGAATAAACTTTCTTGTGTTGTCTTTATGACATCCAGATTCACTATGAAGTGACTCAGTGAGGGCATTGAAGGCCCAGAAAATGTTTTGATAGGCTCTTATATTATTTTTTAAAGTCCTAAATTTGAGGTCAACATTTTAAATAAGTATATTTCTAATAAAAACAATACGCCTCGCTTCTCTAGAATAAAACTCGCCAGATCTGGCATCCTGGCTGGTTTCCGACGTGGCCACACCTGCTAGGGCTCAGCAGTTGCAGCCTCCATTCACAACTGGCTGCCACAAACCCCATTCATCCCATTTCACTCATTCACATGCCCTGCAGAGCCCCCTGCAGCCGTTTGAGTCCTGGCCCCTGGTTTATTCCAGGAGCGGAACACATTACTGTTCCGTTGTCCAGTTCTGATGCTACTTAACATTAGGATGGACAGCTGAGAAGAGGAAGGATCTGAGGAAGCTTCTCCAATTTATTTCACCCTGAAAAGTATTTTAATTCCTTCTAGTCTGCGTTTTCTTATGAGAATATCGTTTTACATTCTGCTGTACCGAAAAAAGTAAGAAAATGAAATAGAAACACACATCAATTTGTTATCCACTAAGGACTAGAAGATGTGCTAAGAAACTTAACTTAGGCTAATTTAATATTCCCCAAAACATTTCTACATAGGATAGATTTAAGGTTCAGAGAGGGCTAGTAACATACCCAAGGATGCAGAGAGTAGGAATAAATTTACATGTGGGGTTTAATGTCCTTAAAATGCATTTCAGCTAAGGTAACTCATCTTAGCCTGTCAGCGACTTTCTAGGTGTCAGCACTTAAAAGTCCTGTAACCCAGGGAGCTCCCCAGTCACTGACAAACCAGGACAGTTAGTCACCCTAACTGCTAAGCTTCCCAAATTTCCCAAACCCTGTACTGTCAATAATAACTGTTCTTTATGAGATCCTTAAAAGAAATATTCACACGAGGAAGAACATCAATTAAAAATGAAGGCGCTGTTTTATTAGCTGGCGACCATAATTATTAGTGCCAGCTTCTCTGATGAAGTTGGGCTGACACCCAAAACTTAGGCACAAGGCCCGAAGAAGAATTCTTGCTTGTCCTTTAACCCCAGTATCAACACCTTCTGGCAACTTGAGTCCCAGGTCCTTGCTGTAAGATGCAACATTCAGGGGGAAGAAAGTAACGGGAAGAACTGGACGGCGCGTTGCCGTGAGTGCGCCCTGCTTCAGCTTGCCCAGCGGCCCAGGGAAGGGAGAACAGGGGGGGCCTCCCAGGCAAGGCGGCCTCGTATAGCGAGGTAACCCCACCGCGGTGAATGTGACCAGTTAGAGCCCATGGACTGTGTCCAGTATCTGACCGAGGCTTTGAGAGCTGTTTGCTCTTGCAGAGGACAGTGGAGACTGGGCTCAGCGCACAGAGCAGGGACTTTCCTAGGTCGACAGAAATGCTGCGAGTTCCCCTTCCCTGCTCCTGGAGTCCCATGCCGACCACGTTTAGTTCTCGCTCCATCGTTGAGCTTAACACAAAGTGCTGGTTAACCCAGGCCCTGGATTAGAGGGAAATCCCAATCTTCATTCACTGGGCCTCTCTCCTGGTATTTATTCCTCTCTGAGACCGATGAGATCGGGGTTTGACACTTTGTCCCTAATGCTCCTGAAATGAGCCAGGACAGAGCTGTAACCAAGTTTTCTTGAAGGCCACACAGTGCATTCAACCAAAAACCCATCCCTGCTGCATTCTCAGCCTCGCCACACATCCATCCGTCAGCGTGATGGAAGGAGGCAGCGCTGGGCTGGGGCCGCCGGAGCCGTGGCTGCCGGAGCCGTGGCTGCCTTTGCAAAGCACACTGAGCCACAGGGAGGCAACCACGAGGGCTCCAGCCCATCACTGTGTTTTTCCCTCCAGCACCTCGAAAGCTTCTCCCCCAGCTCTCAACGGTGAGTGCCCCCGTTTGAATATATAAATGCTCAAAGGAACTCCTAAAAATTTTAAGTATCTTTTAACATAGCTTCCCCTACCCCTTCCCCCTTCACAGGTTGGTATAAAATGTCCCTAATTTGAGCCAATATGAGCCCCTCCTGTTGCAGATTCTCACAGACAATGAAAGTTTAAAAATTTTACAAGGTTAAATTTCATAGGAAACACTTGGATAATATTGTCCCAAAGAAATTCACTTCTCCATACCTCGTCTTTCTGCTTTAGCCTCTGCAGAGTCTGGACCACTGGGACCCAGTGCCGTGAACCCAAGATGCATCCCCCAGGTCCATGTTCTCTCTGGTGCTCCTTAGCATGCTGGCAAGGTTAAATAAAGGTCACTGCAAACTAGTGCAAGTGAGAGGATTTGTATAATTACATTATACAAGTGTAATGTCAACTTCCTGCCATCGGGACCTGAGAACACTGGTTTCTTTGATGTCCTTTCTAAGTGTCCTCATGGTACATTCACATTCTTCTTATAATATAACCTCCATGTCTTACAAACTCTGACCTCATCAGCTGAGAGATAGTTTGCCCTAACACCCCCCCATTAAGCTGTAACATTGTATATGAATGAACAAAGGTCCGTGCCTGTTACCTGTCCCTAAACTCTACATGCTCCAATGAGAGGAAGGGACAGGGGAGAGAAGGCAGAGTTCACAGCAAGGAATAAACTTGGAAATATTTTCCTGCAATGAAATCCGTTAAATGCCCAGCAGATTAGGATATTTGTTTCCCCTAAATGTACTCAAATCCCCGCCTGCAAGGCAGCCTCTGTCGCCGGGTGTCTCATTGTGGGCTCCGTGAAAGCAGGTGCAGACACGGACTCAAGGGCAGATGGTGTCTTTAGGGAATGAGTCCAGGAATCCTAAGTGAGAAAGTCTGCACAAAGACTAAGAGACATCGTTTTTCAGTAATAAAATTTTAAGCCTCATGGTAGCCTAATCCACTTCCCATTTCACCCATATCCTTACAGGGACTGTGTACTTTGAAACCTTAATAACTTGCCCTGGCCGGTTTGGCTCAGCGGTTAGAGCGTCGGCCTGTGGTCTGGAGAGACCCGGGTTCGGTTCCCGCCAAGGGCACGTACCTCGGTTGCAGTTTGTCCCCGGCCCTGGTTGGTCATGCGGGTGGCAGCCATTCGATGTGTCCCTTTCACGTTGATGTTTCTCTCTCTCTCTCTCTCTCCCTGCCACCCCCCCCCCACACACACACACACTCTATCTGAACAAAAAATGGAAAAATGTCCTCGGGTGAGGATAAAAAAAAAAAGAAACCTTAATAACTTAACTTACAGCTATGTGCAAAACATTCCCTAAGCAACATCTAAGGTGGATTGTTTTTTTAATAAAATAAAATTCACCTTACATATTGTTAACTAAATTACATAATAAATTTATGACAAACAATATGGGTCTCTCAGATGAAAATGCAAATCTTGCCCCAATAGCCAGAAGCATAAAAGCCCATATCACCTA